GCAGCGGCCGGGCGGGCACGGGCACGGGCACTCCGGTCCCCCGCGGCGGCCTGGTCGCGGTCACGGTTGGCGAGTGGCCCCGCTGTGTCCGGCCCGGTTCTGCTGCAGGGAGGGGGACCAGGAGGAACCATCTCTGATGGGGCCTTCCCGCCGCGATTTCTCCTTTCAGCCGCCTTTTTTTTTTTTTTTAACCTTCTTCCCCCGACAACTTTTGTAGGAATTCCTCTTGAGAGGCGGTCCCTTACGGAGAGCTAAAGCTTTTACTCACCCCCTCCTCAACCACAAGCACTTTGTCAGCGGCAGAAAACAAGTGAAGTGTAGCTGTCAGTGCCCCACAGAAATAGGTTTTGACTTAACAATGGTCACTCTGCATATTTTCTCTGGTCACCTCCTAAGTAGTACTCTTTAGCGACAGGTTTCACCATTGTAGCCTCCTGCAAATGTTCTAAATCTTTCTGATTGTAGAATATGTTACATAATATATATGTTATATAATTTTAATTACTGCGAGGTAAATATAGCAGGCAGCAAATTCGGTTATCTGTAAGATGGGCTGTACTGATAACAGCAAGCACTGCGTAATCGTGAGGCTTGGGCATAGGAACACAGCTCTGCTCTTTCGTAGGATACTTTTCCAGTCTGTTTTGTAAGATGTAAGAAGAACAGAATGCCTCTCCAAGAATTCCATCCAAAAGTTTCATGCATTACAACAAAGATATTTTAATTTTTTATTGGCTCAAATCAGTTTCCAGGTGAAGGAACATATCAGTGAGAAAATGGAATTGCTGTGTCCATCTGAGTGCAGGAAACAATGTTGTCATCTCCTTATTGCTGACTCCAAATGAGCATTGCTCTCTGTACAGGGATGTTTACTAGGAGCAGTAGAAAGAATTCAGTGATTTAGGTAAGGGTGGGAACTAGTTGTAAGAAACCAAACAAGAACAACAACAAACTGGAGCAGGGAAGAAGGTTTGCTGACTTTTCTTCAGGGCTACGGATTTGCTGAGCAATAGCATTTATCATTAATAAATTGTTGGCTGTGGATGCAAGCTGACCACATGCATGTTGATTTAAAAGAGCCATTCCAGTGAAAACTCCTTCCTTGGTCAAGTTCTCTGTCAGGGATCACCCTAGGAGTTGGTAGAGTTTGGGTAGTGATGGTGAATTAATTCAGCATCTGTAAATTTGAGATTAAATAAGCCAAAAGGAGACATGCAAGCTTAATGATTCTATTCACACAGGCATGATACATTAAATAGTAATACAGAATACATTTTCTCACATCCCTGAATGCACAACAGCTGTCTGCTGTATCAAATATTTTTCCTTTAAGGAGTGGGTGGAAAGCAATTCATGAAGGCTGTGAAAACTGCATATGAGTGTGATTATTTTCAGGGAGTTGTGCTCAAGTGATTTGGGTTTTATATTCCTCTTAATTTTTTTATTATGTTCTGTATGTAATTCTTCATTTTCATGGTCACGTTGAAGCATGTGGAAGAACGCTGCCATCACCATCTGGCAAGTAGCAATTCCCTGATAGCTCTGGTTGGTCGCTGACCATATTGATGTTGGTAGCTCAGCTGTCAGGGCAGTTACCATAAAGATTTACAGTTGTATTGTGTGTTCTGTCAGCGTCTGGAGTACAGCGATGACTTTGTGTGCAGAGGTTTTCCTTCCTATTACTTGCACTACTCCATGACAGACCGAAGATTTCTCTAAGGGAAGGGTATTTATCTACAACACTGATACTTTTCTTGGTAGAAAATTCATTGATGAAAATATTTTTGGGAAAGCATCTACAGAAATACAGTCCTGATTGCTGGAGTCCTAGCTTGTCAAATCACCAGTAAAATTATTAGTGCTTATGATTGCTCCTGTATTTTCCTTCCATCCATCTGAATTGTTGCTCCTTACATAGTGAAGGCCTTTTATTTTTAATGAAGTGAAAGAAAAGAGGGTGTAACAGTAACAAAAGGGGGTAGCATTTTAACCTGCTACATAATGTACAAGAAAGTTACAGTCATGTCACAGAGCAGTTGGAAGTTTTTGATTTTTGTGTGATTTATATACGAACTGCATTTGCACATGTGCAAGAAAAGAACCATATCTAGGAGCTGCAGCAGGAATGAGACTGAAAGTATTTTCTTTCTTGCAAATGGGAAACCATTGTACCTGTTTGAACCAGGTTTCAGATGCTAGTTTCTTCAGATCTTTAAAAGTGTTTACAATGTATACTGTCTTGGGTTTAGGTTTTGTTCTTTTTAATGTTGACAACATTGGTTTTTGTTTTATTTTCTGTGTGTGGCTATGACAGAATAGGGATATGAAATGCATTTTTAAAAAACCCTTTGCAGTAAACAGGAATAATTTATAGGTAGTGGCAGAGCTGAAAGGATTCTAACACCTTGAGCATGGGGTTGGAGATCCTGAGAATAGGTAGAAGTATTGCATAGACACAGAATATCATGCCTTAATGTTTTGAGTGTACATGTTAGTTCTGGGCAGTGTTACATGGTAAGGGGTTAAAAACTGAATACATTAAAGATTCCAAATCTCACAAATGTGGAAGAATATGTTCAGTACCTAGGAAACATGAGATTAATTATCTTTTGAATTTTACTGTAACAGAGGATGTGATAGTTACTGATCTTCCACAACAGTTTTAGTTGAGCTACCTGCAGAAGTATGTTCTGGAATTTCTAACTTGGGCAGCTCACTACAATTTTGTGTTCCCCAGCAATCTTCTTTAGATCAGACTCACAGTGTATTTTTGGTCAAAGCATACCTTCACTGAGGCCTTGTGTACTTGCTAAATTGTCAGGCATAATTTCTGGAAAGTTCATTTATATTCTGATAATTTTTCTCTAAGTGCCTTGAAATTTTTTTCAGAGGGCCGCCAGGGCATGGAGGTGTAACGCAGGAGAATAGCTGCTACAATGCGACTTTTGGCAATGAACGTGTTTACTCAGCATATGCATGAGAAAGTGGCATGTCATTGTGGAGCAAATAAAACATTTTATGGTGTTTTGTGTAACTTAAAACCCTGTGCCATGGATTATGTGGCTATATCATCTTCCACTCAAAGCTTCTAGCTGCAAATAAAAGCCTGTAGATGTGAACCTTAAAATCTGATGTCAGAGGGCAAATACAAAGTATTTGTATTAACGAAGAATCTATAATTATCTCTATCTTAACAAAAATAAGTTATAATTTGAATCCAGTTACACATCAGTACAAATAATTGTTAGCATTATTACTTCCACTTTCTTTACATTTAGCCAGCTTTCTAATCAATGCTTATCAGGGTTGCAGCTGTACTGACTGGTACTGAGTGCCACTACTGGTTAAAAGTAGTGCTTCCAGAGAAACAATATCTTCTCAGTAGGTATATGAGGGATCTTTTAATAAAAATATGTTAAAGAATGTTGCTCATGAAATGTATAATGATCTGTGTCAATGGGCACTTTCCTCTAAAGTGTAGTATTATTTATACTTCAAAGAGAAAAAGTACATACTTATATCCCTCAGGGGCACAGAGAATGGAAGTCATTGTGTTAGTATTTTAATACAAATTGCTTCCTGCATTTCTAAGTGGCAAATATATGAATATTCATAGAATCACGAGGCCAAATGATCATCCAGCACAAGGCATGGAACGGAGAAAAATGGAGGAGCATCTCCAGAATCTCCAGTCTGTCTTTGCCTGGGGGTGGTAAGTTTGTTACCACATTCCCGTTCCTCCGGAAGATGTCACAGGCAGGGCCTGGCTGGGAAGAGCTGATTTGAACGGGAAGGGTGTGTGGCTGGAGAGCCCTCGGTACAGCCTGCTGCTTTCCAGAGCTGGGGGACTGCCAAGCAGCAGCCTGGGAGGGATGCGAGCTCCTCCACACTGCGAGCCCTTCCTCCCTGCGCTTACCGGCTCCCTGGTGCCTTTTAGGTTCTCCGCGATTTTAATGTCCTTTTTCATTCTCTTTGTGTTTCCTAAAACTCTTGCTCCAAAAGAATAATCTGCCCGTAGCTGCATAGATTATTGCTTTATAACTCTCACTTTCGGAGAGAATGGTAGCCGGCCCTCGGTAGTGGGGTCAGCAAGGAGCAGGCCCAGGCCCAGGTGGTGGCAAGTAGGTGCCACCTGGGGGCTCTGCAGGCTCGAGAGACGGGTGCGCTCCGGAGCAGCGGCTCCGCTGCGGCTCCGCGCGGGCTCCGCTCCGCTCGGCGGCGGGAGAGCCGTGCGCTCGCCTCAGGCCCGTTCGCTGCTGCGTGGGGCGGCTCTGCAGACACGGAATAAACTTCCCAGCAGGACGGGCTGGCAGTGCGGTTTTGTGAGAAGGAGCACAAAAGAGTGGTTTGTCTGTAGCAGTGGCAGGACCCAAATGAGGGCGCAGGTTCTTCGCAAGCTGCTTCCCATTCCTGCAGGGAAGCCGTTGGGCTGGTTCACATTCAGCATCACCTGTTTCAGAGAGCTGCAGAGTTTATTTGAATGTGTGTTCTTGTAGTAACAGCCATGTTCTTGTGCTTTGACACGTTACATTTTTTAGGAAGCTGCTAATGAATGCTTAAAGATTTATGTAATTTATATGCCATTTTATTTTGAGCAGTAAGACTTTGTATTGATATATTGAAAGTATTAAGACGTATTTTAGGGTATATGAATTCAGGGTGAGCGCGATAATGTCTTTTGGGGCACGTGCATTGCCGGCAGTGCTGCATGTCGAGGTTTGCTCTCGGTTTGGCTGAGTTGGGGAGCGGTGGGGAGGGGTCTGTTCCCGCGGGGCGCGTGTTTCCCTGAGCGGCCCGAGGGGACTCGCTTCTCCCCATCTGCTGGGGCGTCCCGGCGCTGCGTCCGGGGCGAGGCGGGTGCCGGGGCGGCTCCCGGGGTGCCCGTGGATCCCCGCCCGCCCCGGCCGGGAGCGGCGCGGCGCGGCAAGGGTTAAGGCGGCGGCGCTCGGCGCGGAGGGATACGGAGCCGGAGCCGTGAACGTGGTGCTGAGGCTCTGTAAGCAAAAAAATGTCCGCCTGAGGGAACCCACAAGTTCCTTCCAGCGGGGGGGGAGCGCTCGGCTCGTCGCCTCCCACCCAGCCCGCGGCCCGCGCGCCGCCGCCGGCCCGGCCCTGGTCACCGGAGCGTACACGGGCAACGGGTAAGTGCGGGCGGCCGCGAGAAGTTGGGAGAAAGCGGCGGGGGGAGGGAAGCGGCGGCCGGGCGCTCGCAGGGGCAGAGGCGGCGGCGAGGGGACGGGGCCGCGGGCGCGCGGGCGGGAGGCCCGCCGCGGTCCCGAGCGCGGAGCGGCGGCCGCGGCCCCCGGTGGGTGGGTCGGGAGAGAGGGGGAGGGGGAGCCGGCACCGGCGGCGGGCGGTAATGCCGGGGCAGAGATGGCTCTGCTGAGGCTCGTCCGGCCCCGCTCGCCAGCCCCATTGTTGCGGGGACAGTGAGTCACTTAATCTCTCGCTAATTCTCCGGACCTCGCCGGGCCGCGGCTGTTTATTTGCTTTCCCTTGCCTGGGGGGGACTTAATTCCCGGCGGCCGCCCTTCTGCGGCGTGACCGTGCCTTGCTGGAGGTTGGGGGAGAAGTGGAATGAGGGAGAGGAGGGAGCCCGAGGAAACTTGACGAGAGTTGGGCAGTTCGGGGGAGCTGCGGCTGCCGATCCCCTGAGCCCGCCCGGCCCAGCGCGGCTCCCCGCGAGTCCCGGCGCGCAGGGACCCGAGGCCGCTCTGCGCCTGGGCCGGGGTCGCGCCGGGAAGTGCTGCCCGTGCCTCTCTCCCTGTGCCTAGAAAGGTGATCGCAGGAGCGGAGGAAGATGAATTCCCAGCAGCAGAGGATGGCCGCTATAGGAACTGACAAGGAATTGAGCGACTTGCTGGACTTCAGTGCGGTAGGATATTCTCTGAGGTCTTCTCGTGACTTACTCCGTGGTCGTGCGAAGTGAGGAGCAGGGGCAGCAGCGTGCAGGGCTTGGCTGGGTCTGCCTCAGCCAAGTTGGACACCTGAACTTTGATGTAATGTCTAGACTTCCAGATTTAATACTGTAATACCAGCTGGGTCAATTGGTTTAACTGGTTAAAATCAGGCTGACCCAGTGGTGGCATAATCTAATAATTAACATTGGTTAAGCTGGCATGTGGCACTGGTACCTTGGCTCTTGGGTGGGTTTTTTTTCCTTATTTAAACAAAAGAAAAATTATTTCCCATGATTAAAAGAAGTTATTAATTGATGGTCTTGGCTAAGAAAATTGTAGGTATTTTCTGTGTGTTGCTTTTACCATACCAAATAGGCTCCTGATTTTAAATATAATGGAAAACTACTGCATCTTAAGTGCTTTGTGCAGTGACTTTATACTTGCAGATCAGTAAGAAATATAATTTGAGTAAAAAAATGTGAGTCATGTAAGTATTTGAAATAGTCACAGTAGTAGTAGGTGTCCTTTTAGTTTGAAGTTGTTTGTGTTCATGTAGAAATGAGGTTTTGGTCCTATTAATAAATTGCAAGGAGTACTTCAGCTTATTGGTTTGGTGTGTCTAAACATGCATCTTGCATTGTTTTCAAGCAGAAATAGAAAAAAATTGTTTCCTATTAACCTTTTTTTCTGTTTGCATTAATAATTCAGCACAGACTTTGAAAGCCAACTAAAACATGTCTCTTTTTTCTTGTTTTGCAGATGTTTTCCCCACCTGTAAATAGTGGAAAAACCAGACCAACTACACTAGGAAGCAGCCAGTTCAGTGGATCAGGTAGGATGCATCCGAGATACAGTGTTCATCTCATGGCTCTAAATGTTTCAGTGTAGTCTCCATGTTCTCAGAGAATTGTAATCTCTTATTGGTGCATATTCTCATGAGATATTCAGATCAGTTAGAGATGTGCTGTTTTGATCTTTGTAGTGCGTTTTGTGAACTTTAACCATGGTTTTCCTCTCTGTCTTAGGCTATTAGCCACAGTACAGTGAGGTGTTGAGTGTCTCTAGCCATACTGATGTGCAAATTGTATATTTGTTGTATTAAAAATGAATGACTGTGTTGTTTTTGTTTAAGAAAATCAAGCCTAGATATTCAGTTGAAGAATTTCCTAGCCCCCCTGTATGAAGGGAGAAAACTTCTGTAAAATGCCAAATAGTTAAATACTCCTGACTCAAGGACATACTGTTTTTAAATGTAGTACTTAAGGAAAATGTGAGTTTAATACCATTTTCTAGTACTGTGTACCTCTCAAAGATTTGACAACTGGAGTTTTTTTGTGTTGAAACTTTATCCATCTGGAAAGCAAGTAACTGTATATTTACATGTTGCATGTGTTTTGTGACTTCAGTGTATTATTACATTATCACAGGGTCCACCTAATAGCTGTGTCAGAGACCTTTAAGCTAAGACTGTAATAGGAAATAAGTGCAATTTTAAAACAGATGCTTTGTGTCATTCCCTGAAGAGAGTACTTAGTACAAAAGACAAACCAAAGTAAGTTTTTTGATAAAACTTTTTATGTAGGTTCATCTTGTTTGAATACAGGTAAATGATATTTGCGATCCTATGGATACAACAAAGTGATGTTTGTGTTTTAGTTAATTAAAATAAGTGTTTAGAATGCCAGTAGAGAAGTGAAGTGTAGTGGCTTCAAGTGTTGCAGTGACATCCCCTGTTAGCCTTTAGGTTGTCAGGGCTGTTACTTTGAGAGTCCAAATGACACTGCATTTTAGTAACACTCAAGGATTTTTATTTTTAAAAGCATCCTAAAACTTCTCCATTGAGTAATTTTTCAAACTTTCCAGAGACTATCACAATTAATTTAATGAATGAAACTGTGTAGCAAATGTAATTGTTACATACTTGAAAAAGTCTTAGGTTTTCTCCTGAAATAAGTGATTCTCTTCCTCAGTGAAAGTACATCAGGTGTAAGTTAATGGCAATAGTAAGACAGCAAATCTGTCTTACAATGTAGTTAGTATTTAAATTTTTAAAAATAGAAATATTTAAGATAGTTGTTTCCCTGAAGCTTGTCTTAAAAGACATTTAGGCACCTAAAACTTAATTGTGGAGAGCACAGCCTGGGCATCTCATCCCACTTTGTCCTTGCTTTTCCTGAATGTGTAGAATGATTTTCTGTTGAATAATAAAGCTTTCATTTTTATGTAAGGTCTTAGAGCACTGCTAAGTAATGTGGCATGTCCTATTTGTAGTTAGTGCTTCCCTTTCTTCCCTTGGATATTTTAGAAAAAGAGAGAATGCCAGAATAGTTATTTCTTTGAGAGAAACAGTGTGACTCCTCGGATTTCTTTACCAATATGGTGTATCCTTGTATAAATACCAATCCTCAGTAGAACACTGCAACTGTCAGACAAGCTACAACCTCAGCTGAGTTCCCCTTGGAATGATAGTAGTATATATTTGTGGATTTTCATTAAAAACATTTCTACTTGTAGAAATTTACTAGATAGTGGATTATATGCCCTAATTCTGGTAATGTTATGAGCTGAGACTTGACCTAGGGTGATTACTCTGCAGGAGTGAGAGGTGACAAATTTCTTTATTAGTTGTTCTGGGACAGTGTTAAGTATTGTAGAAAAACTATGTCAAGATCAGTGATGAAGTACAGGCATTTAATTTCTAAGTACTTTGATTTAATTGTGGTCTTGGTATAATTTCAAATGTTTTGTGACTTCTAGGACAAACAAAACTTAAAGCTTTTTTTTTTTAGCTGACCAGAGATTGCCTTGTAAAGGGAAACGTGGAAAGAGGAGGTACTTATTCCTTTGAGCTATCTAGGACTGAAAATCACACAGTGTCCAGATTCCTAAAAAGTAGTTCTTTTTTCCTTTGGGCGTTGCTGCCTCTTACAGAGATTTTCAGTGGTTTTGGTGGCAATTAGAGAAGTGAAGCTTGCTTTAATATCTTTCCCATTAAGCTCAGTTTTATTTTTGTGATGTTTTTACAAGCATGCTAAAGGAAAGTGCTTTTTTTTTCTTAGATGGAGTAAGACTGTTTCATTGTTTTTTATTTTAGAGCCCCCTCTTTCAAATTTAAACTTAAAATAAACATCTGCAAAAACCTCCCCTCCCCCTCCAACCTGTCAGTGATTTGAGATTCAGCCTAATGGCCCCCATAAGTAGGTGAAGATCAATTGTATGTCTGCATGGCTCTTAACACTGTATATATCTGGGAAATCTGATTTAGAAGGAAGGAATGCTCATGATGCTTTTTTTCTCACCACCCAATGGTCCCTAGTTTAAAAGGACAAATTAGTTGCTGTTAAAGAATGGATAAGTTTTGGTTGTTTTTCGGGTGTGGCGTTGTGAAGCGTTGGAAATACTGGGGTGCATATTATTAATCCTGATGTAACAAGCTTGATTTGCTATAATTCTGCAAGACTTCTGTTGATTTATATTTTAGAAATATATGTGTAGTTGGATTGCATGAATAAAACAGCTAATACAACTGATCTGTAATTTGTCAGAAATTGCTGTCTTGGATTAACAGATGAACATTGTGTTTTGATTAAAAGATAGCTGGGGCAGGCTTGCTTTCTGCAGGTCAATCAGTTATGAATGAAAGCTGCAGATAAAATAAGTGAACTAATCTGATATATTGTAGTATATTATGACAGTAAGTCGTGTAAGCTGCTGATAAAGTCAAATAACTTGGTCAGACTGCTGGTGAAAATAAGCATATTGGAAAAGTAACCTGATATGTGAGCCAGTGAGTTAACCCACAAAACCCCTTGTCATACCTGCTGTACTTAATTCTTGTTTGAAACAGAACTTGTTATTCTTTTCTCCTCCCAAATCAACTTCTGAAGATGAAGCCATTTCTGTCTTAAAAACTGTAGTAGAAGGTGGCAAAGGTCCGAGATTTGATCTATTGGACTTTTTAATCAGGTAGTTTTCTTTTCTTTAGATTTTATATAAATTCCAAATCTTCTGTTGCTGCTGTGGCTGAAGGTAGTGTTTGTGATTTACAGTGACATTTTGTTGTTTTGCCTTTGTCTAAGCTACAACACATATACCAATACAAACCTGGATGGTTACTGATTTTTCCCATCACCCTTTATTTAATACAGTAATTCTATTAACAACCAGTCACAATATGCATGTGCCCACCATAGGCAATGGTAGTGCAATTTTCTTATGTTTTTTAGTAGATTTGATCTCAATCTCAGTTTTTCCTGTAACTGATTTTTTTTTTTTTAATCTCAGGTGTGGTACCTGAAAATAACTCCCTTTGGTGTTTTTTTTTTGTCTTTGGCAAAGAAGAGTAACTCCGAGGCAGTATTTTTCTGTGGCCTACCATTTTCAATTTAGTACCTTTTTTTCAGTGTACTAATAGCATTATTTATTGTTTTTGCACGTGGCTGTGCACAAGCATCAGTGAGGTATCAGTCAAAGAGATGAAGTAAGGTATTGTGGATGTATAGCAGAAAAGAGAGGTAAGAGTTCAAAGTAAGAGGTACAGTTTAGGAGCTAAGTTGTCAAAATATGACACCTCTCTTGCCTGTAAGATTCTTCTGAAGTTCATGAAAACTAAGTATGCACAATTGGGAGTGAACAGCTTGGGGCACAAATCTTGTGTCTACCCAGACGTTCCTCATACATGCAAAAACTTCTGAAGGTATCTATTTAGGTACTGTTTGTATTGGTTTGGTCCCTTTCATACAAATTCAAGAGACTGGCTGCCCTTTCCACGTGTCTCTGCTAATGTACTGAGTTTGTAAGGGGTGCACTGGATTGGGAGAGGCTGCTAATTAGTGACTTGATGCAAAGACCATTTAAGTTGATAGCCTGCCATTAACCTGAGTGTCCTTAAATTAGGGCCATGTGTCTTGAGAATGGACACAATGGGCAATTCTTGAGCAGGTCTCTTAACACCAAACAGTGTTTCCAAAATTAACAAAACCTGACTTTGTCAATCCTCTGTGCTGGTTAGTCTTCTGTTTAGAGATACATTTGACACCATTAGTAAGGGAAACTGAGTTTTGCTGTGTTTGCATGTAGAAAGGATTCTTTGAAAAAGTTAATCCTGTATTTCCAGCAACTTTTTCCTTAGATGAGAGCAGCAGTGGTCACTGTTACAGGCACAGCATCCAACCTCCAATCCCCATATAAATATTACTGGTTTGGGATGCAAGGAAGATCCTTGCTATGTTATTTCTGGATGGCTTCAGAAGATCTGGGATTGCAGTAGTGCCTTGTCCTTTCCTGATGTGGACCTAAGGATGGGGTACCTTCCACCATCAGCCTCCCCTCAGCCAGTAACTCTGGGTCTTGCCAAATTTTTCTGATCTACTCTGAGTGATGAGGAGTATTCAGATGCTTTGGATAGTGGTCTTAATGGCATGTGGAAGGAGCAGGATTTGAAATTTTGTATTTAGCCAGAAAGCAGATTTGATAGAAATGGAAATGTGAGGACTAAGGGTTTGGGAAAAGAGGAGGAAGAGCAGTATGAAGGGGATTCTTATGTATTTCTATGTCCTTTAATGTCAGCTGAGCTTGCAGTCTCCTCCTGTAAAACTTTAGTGTCTGCAGCTTTTGCTAAGTTTTAGCTTTTTTTGGGTTTATTTGTTTATGGTCTCTTTTTGATCTTTAGCAAAGGAATTTCATGTTAAAAGCTTATCATTCATACATGCTTGCCAAAGTTCCCCTTCCCCTCACTTCTTTCCAGCTGTCACACAAAGAGGATTTAACCCCTTAGGTGTTTTGCTGTCAAGTTGCTGTGACAGCTGTTTGTCTCAGGTAATTCTGCTTTAT